GCATGACAATGATCCCAAACACACCGCCCGGGCAACGAAGGAGTGGCTTAGTAAGAAGCATTTCAAGGTCCTGGAGTGGCCTAGCCAGTCTCCAGATCTCAACCCCATAGAAAATCTTTGGAGGGAGTTGAAAGTCTGTATTGCCCAGCGACAGCCCCAAAACATCACTGCTCTAGAGGAGATCTGCATGGAGGAATGGGCCAAAATACCAGCAACAGTGTGTGAAAACCTTGTGAAGACTTACAGAAAACGTTTGACCTGTGTCATTGCCAACAAAGGGTATATAACAAAGTATTGAGAAACTTTTGTTATTGACCAAATACTTATTTTCCACCATAATTTGCAAATAAATTCATAAAAAATCCTACAATGTGATTTTCTGGATTTTATTCTCTCATTTTGTCTGTCATAGTTGACGTGTAACTATGATGAAAATTACAGGCCTCTCTCATCTTTTTAAGTGGGAGAACTTGCACAATTGGTGGCTGACTAAATACTTTTTTTCCCCACTGTATAATGTGATTTGACTTCATTTTATCTGTGGCCAATGACCTTGAGCCTTTTTGGATGGGCACATCTAATGTAACTCTATGGCACTACCCAAGGGGCTTGAATGTTCGAGCTGTCCCCATAGATTTTGCAGTGACGTAGTGTCCCCATGAGTGACAGAACACTGAGCCAATCACGGCGCAACTAGAGAACATTACCAACCCCTACGCTCCGCATTTTCCGCTGGCTGCCCCACCACCACAGAAAGCACTGAGCAAGGCTGAAACGCCTGCATTTTTTAGCTGCCTTACTCAAGAAAGCAAAAAAGAGACCATGTTTGTATGCCAATAGCCTGTTTTAGAGAAATGTCATCATTGGATACTGTAAGAGCTTTCATTGTCTGCTTTTATTCCCCATTTATTTATCCTACAGTTCTGACTTGGTGTACAGGGAGAATACTGTTTTGAATTCTGTTGCTGTAGATTTCAAAAGTGCTGAACAAATAGTTATATTGACTACGTCTGTCCTAGCTCACTCATTAATCAAAATTACAGATTGCCTCTTATCCGTTCGTCGTCCCCTTATGCCATAGTTTGTATATCTCAATTGTCAGTAGAAACCACATTTGTTTAAGCAAGTCAGCCATATCAGCTATGTTTTTTTAAAAGGCAGTAAATGAGGCTGAATGAACTATTTAGCTGCCAGACAAGGCTCCGCTGATAGCCAGGTGTACCAGTATTAAGGCGTTGGGACTGCTGTTGGGACTCTGCTGTTGGGACAGCTTTATGTAGGCCCTAACAGTTTGTGGGCACCGTTTGTCACTGTTATAGTGCAATTAATGTATTGTTTAGTGTTGTGTTGTGTAGTGGCTTTGCTGGCATGCAACCCCCACATGTTTTGAGTTTGCCTCACAAAGATTTACATTCCAAAATCGGCACTGGTAAGAGTACAGCCTCAGTGTTCACTGTAAACGTGCACCGGAAGTTGCACAAAATTCTCACGACATTCAAGTTTCCGCTCACAAGACTTTACATTTTCTCTGTGCCCCCAAAAATTTGAAGGAACATTGGCTGGGCGGTATACAATACAGAGGGACTTCCTGGATTGCAGCACCGGGTTAGAGGGAGGAGTAACAGACTGGGGACATTAAGTGACACCTCACACCCACCAGAGACTCACACAGGGCTCCTGATCAACAGAAGGAGAGAGCACACTGAGAGAGAGAGAGAGAGAGAGGTAATGTGCTGATTCAGTCTTATTCTCTGCATGGCTAAAACAACTGTTAAAGTACATGGGAGAAGAAAGAAAACTCTCTGGACATTACTTGAAATTATTTAACAAAACTAGTAACTCCTTGGTCCTTGGTAGAAAATAATGGTACTTTGTCATATTTGTTACAATGAATATCCAAATCAAATCAAATCAAATTTGCCACATGCGCCGAATTCAACAGGTGTAGAAATTACCGTGAAATGCTTACTTACAGCCCTTAACCAACAATGCATTTATTTCTTAATAAAAAAGTTAAATAAAACAACAACAACAAAAAAGTGTTGAGAAAAAAAGAGCAGAAGTAAAATAAAATAACAGTAGGGAGGCTATATACAGGGGGGTACCGGTGCAGAGTCAATGTGCGGGGGCACCGGCAAGTTGAGGTAGTTGAGGTAATATGTACATGTGGGTAGATTTAAAGTGACTATGCATAAATAATTAACAGAGTAGCAGCAGCGTAAAAAGATGGGGTGGGGGTGCAAATAGTCCGGGTAGCCATGATTAGCTGTTCAGGAGTCTTATGGCTTGGGGGTGGAAGCTGTTGTGAAGCCTTTTGGACATAGACTTGGCGCTCCGGTACCGCTTGCCGTACGGTAGCAGAGAGAACAGTCTATGACTAGGATGGCTGGAGTCTTTGACAATTTTGAGGGCCTTCCTCTGACACCGCCTGGTATAGAGGTCCTGGATGGCAGGAAGCTTGGCCACAGTAATGTACTGGGCCGTACGCACTACCCTCTGTAGTGCCTTGCGGTCGGAGGCCGAGCAGTTGCCATACCAGGCGGTGATGCAACCAGTCAGGATGCTCTCGATGGTGCAGCTGTAGAACATTTTGAGGATCTGAGGACCCCATGCCAAATCTTTTCAGTCTCCTGAGGGGGAATAGGCTTTGTCGTGCCCTCTTCACGACTGTCTTGCTGTGTTTGGACCATGATAGTTCATTGGTGATGTGAACACCAAGGAACTTGAAGCTCTCAACCTGTTCCACTACAGCCCCGTTGATGAGAATGGGGGCGTGCTCAGTCCTCTTTTTTTTCCTGTAGTCCACAATCATCTCCTTTGTCTTGTTCACGTTGAGGGAGAGGTTGTTATCCTGGCACCACATGGCCAGGTCTCTGACCTCCTCCCTATAGGCTGTCTCATCGTTGTCGGTGATCAGGCCTACCACTGTTGTGTCGTCGGCAAACTTAATGATGGTGTTGGAGTCGTGCCTGGCCATGCTGTCATGGGTGAACAGGGAGTACAGGAGGGGACTGAGCACGCACCCCTGAGGGGCCCCCGTGTTGAGGATAAGCGTGGCAGATGTGTTGTTCCCTACCCTTACCACCTGGGGGCGGCCCGTCAGGAAATCCAGGATCCAGTTGCAGAGGGAGGTGTTTTGTCCCAGGATCCTTAGCTTAGTGATGAGCTTTCAGGGCACTATGGTGTTGAACGCTGAGCTACAGTCAATTAATAGCATTCTCACGTAGGTGTTCCTCTTGTCCAGGTGGGAAAGGGCAGTGTGGAGTGCAATAGAGATTGCATCATCTGTGGATTTGTTGGGGCGGTATGCAAATTAGAGTGGGTCTAGGGTTTCTGGGATAATGGTGTTGATGTGAGCCATGACCAGCCTTTCAAAGCACTTCATGGCTACAGACGTCAGTGCTACGGGTCGGTAGTCATTTAGGCAGGTTATCTTAGTGTCCTTGGGCACGGGGACTATGGTGGTCTGCTTGAAACATGTTGGTATTACAGACTCAGTCAGGGACATGTTGAAAATGTCGGTGAAGACACTTGCCAGTTGGTCAGCACATGCTCAGAGTACACGTCCTGGTAATCCGTCTGGCCCTGCGGATTTGTGAATGTTGACTTGCTTAAAAGTCTTACTCACATCGGCTACGGAGAGCGTGATCACATAGTCATCCAGAACAGCTGGTGCTCTCATGCATGCTTCAGTGTTGCTTGGCTCGAAGCGAGCATAGAAGTGGTTTAGCTCGTCTGGTAGGCTTGTGTCACTGGGCATTCGACGAGCGTCAGAGCCGGTGTAATACGATTAAATCTTAGTCCTGTATTGACTCTTTCCCTGTTTGATGGTTCGTCGGAGGGCATAGCGGGATTTCTTATAAGCGTCCGGGTTAGAATCCTGCTCCTTGAAAGCGGCAGCTCTACCCGTTAGCTCAGTGCGGATGTTCCCTGTAAGCCATGGCTTCTGGTTGGGGTATGTACGTACGGTCACTGTGGGGACGACGTCACCGATGCACTTATTGATGAAGCCAGTGACTGATGTCGTGTACTCCTCAATGCTATCTGAAGAATCCCGGAACATGTTCCAGTCTGTGCTAGCAAAACAGTCCTGTAGCTTAGCATCTGCGTCATCTGACCACTTTTTTATTAACCGAGTCACTGGTGCTTCCTGCTTTAGTTTTTGCTTATAAGCATGTCTAATATTTATGTAATTACACCGGCTAAATCTATGATGTTGAAATGCCTATTTACTCTGTTCCATCTGACTGCGCAATATACTGTCTCATCAGCCCAGCCAGGCAATTTATAAACTTGATCTCCACTATAAAAAGCATCTAGACATTATCTCAAATTTCTTTTAGAATAACATTTAGTTTTCAACAGCGGAGATTTGTATAAACCTTACTGTCTGTCTCTCCGACATTTGCATAATTATTTCAATATCCAAATTCGATCTGCAGCTGTCCCATAGTAATGAACGTGTCGGGAGTCAGGAGTCGGAGTCAGGATGAGACAGAAAGGAAGGCAACTTTTCTCAGCCAGTCGAAATCATGAATCAGAATCAGCCGGCTTGGGTAGCAACCCTAGATTTGTGTCGGACTATATCTTGTGGAAGGATGAAATACTATTTATAAATTAATCAAAATTAAGTTTTTAATGAAAATATGTAAATCATTATTTTAATATGTTGTTAACCCGTTGTATAAAAGTGATAATGCCCTCGAAGCCAGTGTTTGGAGGATATATTGGCACGGTTTGCCGACCCTCGACGAACAACACCCATGCCAATATAACCTCCAATCACCGGCTTCGAGGGCATTATCACTTAAGTAAAGCATTACAAGGACTTTGACATCTTCTCTCTGTGCATTAAATCAAAGTTGAAAAAATGTGCTAAGAAGGTTGAAACAATCATAAACGTGTCATGAAATCTTCAAGTCAGATTTTCTGAATGCCTATGTATTCTCCTTACACAGCTGGGAATGGGATGTGTAGTTATTCACATAACACTATTTATCATGCTGTTCTATACTCTTTCTGTGCTCAATCCTGTGGACACAGACAAGGTGACCAGAGAGAGAGGTGAAAGAGGACAGACCCTGGTGTTGTGGTTGATTCATCGAGGCAGTGGAGGCAGGATGAGGGTCTTCATGTGGGCAGCTCTACTCTTCTCTCTGACAGAGAGAGCAACATGTCAACGTAGGGTCCCTTTGGTCATTAAAGTATTGTTAATATTGAAATCATTAGTAGGCCTAGTTGTATAGATGTGACAACACATTTTAATCTCAACTGATTCTGTATCATCAAAAATATTAGTAACAAAGTGCTTTCTGCATTACACATGACTGTATTAATTTCCCTCTATCAGAACAGCCACAGCCACCACCACACCCAACAGCATCACCCTGGACCATCACCTTCAGTCCAGCAGAGATAACAGCAGAGAAGGGACTATGTGCTGTTATTTCATGTACTTTCACTCACCCTGCTAAAGTCAAGCCTATCACAGCAATATGGTACAAATGCCCTTCAAATGGCAATTGTGATCAGCATAAAAACATCATTTTCCACTCCAAAGATCCCTCTAAGGCTCAGGAGGGTTATAAACAGAGAGTGTCTCTTCTGGAGACAGACCTGACAAAGAAGAACTGTAGTGTGATCATCAACGACATCAGAGAGAATGACACTGGAGCGTATCAATTCAGAATGACGGGAGGACCATTTACATACCCACAGAAAATGAAAATCACTGTGACAGGTACAGCATGACTATTACTGTAAGTTATATTGACATGACAATTACTGTACTTAAATATGAACAGGTACATATCTCCAATTCATAAATGCCAAGATTCCCCTCCCCAAGTCTCCCTTTCCAAAGTCTTATTTTTTCTAAACAATGGTGGAATGTTTTTGGCTTTATTTGGAGCAGTTTTTACAGGGGTAGCATAGGCATGATGCTGTCACACTGCGTCTGATTATATTTCTCAGATGGTCAGGTACATAGATGAAAAACTCACTTCTGAGTTTGTATTTCCTATGTTCAGCTCTGACCCAGAAGCCGTCAGTGTTGACTCCTCCTCTGACAGAGGGAGAACCAGCTACTCTGACCTGCACCGCCCCGGGGATGTGCTCTGGAACCCCTCCTCACATTACATGGGCATGGAGAGGAACAGGAGACAACATAACTGAGCTCCAAGAAAACACCGCCATACAGGAGAGCGAGGATCTGGCCAGCGTCACAACAACCCACTTCTCAAATTTGACCTTTACCCCCTCAGCTAAGGATCACAGCACCAATGTCACATGTCTGGTGACCTTCAATGGCATTGTCACCACTAAGAAGACACTGAAATTGAATGTGACACGTAAGTACTGTACATTATCTGACCTTCATTTCACAACACATTATTTCGTTGTGCTTCAACAGTTATATTTCATGAACATGATTAACTGTGTATGCACTTTGTTTTCTAGATGTGAAGGAACCCAAGATCTCTGGTTGTAACACAGTGAGAGAGGGTGATACCCTGAATCTGACCTGCAGTGTTGACAGCTACCCACCATCATCATCTAACATCACCTGGAGTAAGAAGGGGAAAACAGCTTTGGATCAGAATAACTCTGGACTGGCCACTCTCACCATCTCTAACATGACAAGAGTGCATGCTGGGGAGTATGTGTGTACAGCTCAACACCCCAACAGGACTCTGACAGCTTCCGCTGTTGTAACTGTGATGTGTGAGTACAAACAGCACTGTACAAACCTGATTGAAACATTTAAGTTGATATGAGACGCAATCATTCTTATCTCGCATGATGTTAACATCAATCTATCACTGATCTCTCTCTCTTCGCTGTCTTTTTCCAGACCGTCCTGTGATGCTCAATGGCTCTGGGTGTGTGGTCCAAGCAGAGGTCATGACCTGTGTGTGTGTCAGTCAGGGGGTTCCCTTACCCCTCATAGAGTGGCCACTGCTGGAGCTCAACACAGAGAAGTACAGCCTCACTACATCAGTGTTCGGGTCCTCAGTGAACAGCACCATCAGCCTGCCTGTTAGAAACCACACCAACAACACCAGTGTGGAGTGTGTCAGCAGAAATACTGTGGGTGTAGTGAGAGGGAAGTTGCAGGAAACGCAAAAAGAGAACCAAGAAAAGCAAGGAGGTAAAGATATAAGTTAAGTAACTTTGTTAGAGAGCCCCATTTTCCCAATTGTACCCAATATGTGCAATGTTTTGGATTTCAGTTGGAAAACCACATAATGAACCCCCAAAAAAATCTTACAGAGGATATGAACTTATGTGAGCCACTTCTAATACGTAGTTGTTGTTTTCTTTTTAAGAAGAAGTATTGGAAGATATACTGGCAATGCTGTCAAACCCAAAACGGATTACTGCATTTGTGATTGGTGCATCATTTTCAGCTATCATTGCTTGCATCGTCCTATGTTTGAAAGGGAAATGTCAAAGGTACATGTATTATGTTACTGTAGTACAGCTAGTATTCACTGAGCATGTTGTTTTAAAAATCAATTACAGATTGTCTTTGAAAATTCATATTTGCTATCACGAGCATCAGATATACTGTCCAAAGTGCCAATGCCTTTCACCACATTGTAATGGAAGTGCTTGCTTACCACTCCAAAATACAGTTATTGAGATATTTCATTTGTAATATTATCCTTAGACAAAAAGAGAGGATCCCAAAAGACTCAGACTCCAAAAGCCCTTTCATGAACCTGGAGATGGTGGCATGTGAAGACCAACAGGTGCAGTACCAGTTTCTTTCTTTATTCAGCTTTACCAACATTCAGTTAGCATTGACATGCCAATAGGAGTTGATAAGACAGCATAAACAGATCTGGGACCACCAAGCTAACAAAATACTCATAACACTGTGCTTTCTGTAATGTACTCCATAGACGGATGCAGGACAAGCTGTGGGTGGCGAGCAGACCCCTCTGCAGGTGGAGCTGAGGGAGGGAGCTGAAAATGGAGGACCCCATACCAGTGGAGCCGCGGGAAAATCTGCCACAGGGGAAGAACCCAAAGAAGTGGACTATGCCAGTATTGACTACTCCCTACTGAAGAAGAAGACTCCTGAGGAGGCAGAGAAGAAGACCACCACCACAGAATCAGAGTACGCCAAAATCAAACGAGAGAAGAAGAAAGATGGGGAAGAAGATGAAGGAGAGGGGAGGGGTGTGATGGAGGAGGAGGAGAAAGAGAACAGTAAGCCAGCAGCAGAGACAGATGAGGATACAGCGCTTTACTCCAACGTCAAGGCTAATATGGGTGGTTGGAATAGCATACAGTAGTATGGCTTCTATTATACAGCCATGTGGTATTCTCTCATATTCCAGTTTGAATGATTTATGATAAAACAGAGACTTTGTTTAATAACTGAAACTACTGTAGTTAGTAGTTTTGGTGTTGTTTCCTCATGTGCTGAATCCAGTTGGAATGTTTTATGTTAATACAGAGACATTGTTTAATAACTGAAACTACTGTAGTTAGTAGTTTTGGTGTTGTTTCCTCATGTGCTGAATCCAGTTGGAATGTTTTATGGTAATACAGAGACATTGTTTAATAACTGAAACTACTGTAGTTAGTAGTTTTGGTGTTGTTTCCTCATGTGCTGAATCCAGTTGGAATGTTTTATGGTAATACAGAGACATTGTTTAATAACTGAAACTACTGTAGTTAGTAGTTTTGGAAAATGCTTTATTTTACAGCCCTGTGTCAGATGGTACTGTATGTGCCTGGTGCTTGTACATTTTAAATAATAATATTTTCTAGTAATGTTTTTGTGATGTTTTTCAAGGAAGTGTAATTTTTCTTTTGTAATGATTGTGTTTTGTCAACATAGAGAAGGACTGACAAAGATATGGTTTGGAAAAGTAGAGTGGTCAAACTTTTTCTTGTTTTTCTCCTCTTTCCTTTAATTTTTGCATTTCGATTTGACAAGGGGGTGGGGGATATTAGGTATACTGAACAAAAATATAAATGCAACATGTAAAGTGTTGGTCCCATGTGTCACACCCTGGCTCTGGGACTCTATATGTTGAGCCAGGGTGTGGATATTCTATAGGTTGTATTTCTGTGTTGGCCAGAGTGGTTCCCAATCAGAGGCAACGAGTGTCAGCTGTGGCTGGTTGTCTCTGATTGGGAGCCATATTTATAGAGGCTATTTGCCCACAAATGTTGTGGGATCTTGTTTCTAGTCTGTTTGTGTTAGACCGTGAACTGTCACGTTATCGTTTTTGATCGTGTCTCTAAATAAAGAGTATGTTTGCCTGCAACGCTGCGCCTTGGTCCTCCTCTCTTCCCGACGAGCGTGACAGTAGATCCCACCAAACCAGGACCAAGCAGCGTGTCCAGGAACACACGCAGGAGGTAACGCTGGTGGATGTCCTCCTCGGCTGGGGGCAGATTGCGAAGGAGGAGGCCGTCCGGTACCGGAAGGCGATGAAGGGGGAGATCCAGGCAGGAGTGGAGAAGCGGCGTCAACCGGGCCGTGGTCGGACAGGCGAGAGGCACCCCCAATAATTTTTTAGGGGGGGGGCACACGGCATGGGCGACTGGGCAGCAGGAGGCTGCCACAGGGCGAATTGGGAGATTAGGAGAGGAGGCCACCGGGTTTTGGGGGCCAGAAGGCAGGTTGGCGGAGCCTGGATGGAGAGCAGAGCCAACTCCCCGTACTCAGGCATGGCAGCATGAGACTGGGCAGGTTCCGCGGTATGCGGAGCTGCGCACTGTGCCACGAGTGGTCCGGCATAGTCCGGTACGTCCTGTGCGAGCACCCCGCACGTGTTGTGCGAAGGTGGGCATGCAGCCAGGACGGAGTGTGCTGTTATGCCAGTACGGGTACACAGCCCTGTACGTCCTGTGCTGATGCCTCACACAGAGTGTGTGAAGGTAGGCATTCAGCCAGGACGGGTTGTGGCAGCTCTTCACTCCAGGTCTCCTATCCGTCTCCACAGCCCGGTCCGGCCTGTCCCTGCTCCACGCACCAAGCCTACGGTGTGCGTCGCCAGCCCGGTCCGGCCTGTCCCTGCTCCACGCACCAAGCCTACGGTGTGCGTCGCCAGCCCGGTCCGGCCTGTCCCTGCTCCACGCACCAAGCCTACGGTGTGCGTCGCCAGCCCGGTCCGGCCTGTCCCTGCTCCACGCACCAAGCCTACGGTGTGCGTCGCCAGCCCGGTCCGGCCTGTCCCTGCTCCACGCACCAAGCCTACGGTGTGCGTCGCCAGCCCGGTCCGGCCTGTCCCTGCTCCTCGCACCAAGCCAGGGGTGCGCATCGTCAGCCCGGTCCGGCCCGTTCCTACTCCACGCACCAAGCCAGGGGTGCGCATCGTCAGCCCGGTCCGGCCCATTCCTACTCCACGCACCAAGCCAGGGGTGCGCATCGTCAGCCCGGTCCGGCCCGTTCCTACTCCACGCACCAAGCCAGGGGTGCGAGTCGTCAGCCCGGTCCGGCCCGTTCCGGCTCCATGCACCAAGCCAAGGGTGCGCGTCGTCAGTCCAGCACAACCCGTGCCTGGGTCACCGGTGCCTGGTAAGGTACCGGTCAGCTGCTCCACACCGGAGCCAAAGCGGTCCGCTTCTACGATGTCCGGTCCAGCTCCAGCCAGTGGGGCCAGACCGGACCAGGGGCGCCATGGGGGGATGGTGGAAGGGTGGTGGTCAAGCCCGGAGCCGGAACCGCCTCCGAGGAGGAATGACCACCCAGCCCTCCCCTGGTGTGTGTACGTTTAGGCGCGGTCGCAGTCCGCGGCTTTAGGGGGGGGTACTGTCACACCCTGGCTCTGGGACTCTATATGTTGAGCCAGGGTGTGGATATTCTATAGGTTGTATTTCTGTGTTGGCCAGAGTGGTTCCCAATCAGAGGCAACGAGTGTCAGCTGTGGCTGGTTGTCTCTGATTGGGAGCCATATTTATAGAGGCTATTTGCCCACAAATGTTGTGGGATCTTGTTTCTAGTCTGTTTGTGTTAGACCGTGAACTGTCATGTTATCGTTTTGTTGTTTTTGATCGTGTCTCTAAATAAAGAGTATGTTTGCCTGCAACGCTGCGCCTTGGTCCTCCTCTCTTCCCGACGAGCGTGACACCATGTTTCAATAGTTGAAATAAAAGATCCCAGAAATGTTCCATACGCACAAAAACCTTATTTATCTAAAATGTTGTGCACAAATTAGTTTACATCCCTGTTAGTAAGCATTTCTCCTTTGCCAAGATAATCCATCCACCTGACAGGTGTGGCATATCAAGAAGCTGATTAAACAGCATGATCCTTACACAGGCGCAACTTGTGCTGTGGACAATAAAAGGCTGAATGTGCAGTTTTGTCACACAACACAATGCCACAGATGGCAGTACGTCCAAATGGCAGTACGTCCAAATGGCTTCACAACCGCAGACCACGTGTAACCACGCCAGCCCAGGACCTCCACATCTGGCTTCTTCACCTACGGGATCATCTGAGACCAGCCACTCGGACAGCTGATGAAACTGTAATAAAGCCCTTTTATGGGGAAAAACTCATTCTGATTGGCTGGGCCTGGCTCCCCAGTGGATGGGCCTGGCTCCCAAGTTGGTGGGCCTATGCCCTCCCAGGCCAACCCATTGCTGCGCCGCTGCCCAGTCATGTGAAATCCATAGATTAGGGCCTAATGAATTTATTTCAGTTGACTGATTTCCTTATGTGAACTGTAACTCAGTAAAACCGTTGAAATTGTTGGATGTTGCTTTTATACTTTTGTTCAGTATAGTATGTGTGTTTGTAACCATTATATTTCTGTACATAGAATGCTGAAATACTGCAGAAAATGTTGGCAAAATGTAATAAAGAATTTTCATTTTGGGCTAGCCAGAGAGGTCAAATGAAATGAATCAAGAAAAAAAGTACATTATGCTTTTAAAAGTTGTGTGCTATAGACAGGTTTGTTGTCTAGCAACAAAATAGACGTGTGCACAACTATGGGGCAAAACAGACGGGTAGGCTTAGATTGTTGACAACATGTAAACTTTATTTAGTCTCTAATGTTTATTAAAAATATAAATACATTTGCACAATGAGAACTTCTTGTCTCTCAAGTACATTGTTACAGTTGTTGGTTAGCTAGCTAGCTAATTTTTGCATATTAGCATAGATGTGACATCAGTCAAAATACCTCAAAACATGACATGGTATCAAGAACAAGATAAAACTAGCTGAAACCAGCCACCTACAATTCACCACATGGCAGCTTTGTGTCATTGTTGCTAGCTATCTGGCCATCCAGAATCACGACAACACACAGCCTTCTGACTCATTGAAGCGTGCATATCGTTTTCGTGGCATTGTCAGCTAACCCGTCTATTAGAATATTTTTCTATTAATAAGTGTGCATTATTGCAGTATTGTTTATATTCAGACACTACCTCACTTTTAATGGTTTTGTGTATTTCCATTTGTTTGTTTTCTGAAATCTGTCCAAAGCATGTAGAAATTGTGTATGTTTTTATAGGCCAAACTAAAATCTGAACTCATCATGATTACTAGAAGTTTAGATAGCTGGCCGGTAGACTAATTTACCAATCTAAAACATTTTTGCTGACATGGGCTAATTGTGTGACCTTAAGTGACTTACATAACATGAGAAAAACTGCTGATGCACAACCACATTTCGAAATTGCACCTTGTGTATTCTACTATTCTAACTCTCAACAGTAAGTTAAAACCTGATTGAGTCCCCCCCCCCCCCCCACACTGTTTTTCTATTATTATATTTTTCACTTTGGAAATTGATCCGCGGGCCTACAAAAGGGTGACCGGCGCCATCTGCCCAGCCCTGGTATAAATGTTAATTACTATTATTATTATTTTATTTTGTAATGTTTCGATAGAGTAAATGAAAGCTTTATCTTGGAAGTTAAACAGAAATGCTAATACATAAATACACCCTACTTCTTTCTTTCAATACCAAACTGCGAGAATGCAGTGTTTTTCCTTTGTTGAGTGTAACAGGTTGAAGAAGAGAAACTATCCTGTCACAATCAAGGTATTCTTAAAGAGCTACCGGACAAACTCACTATAAACACATATATTATTCCTCAGGTTTGGACTAGAAGAACATGAAGATGTAAAACATGTCCCTTTGTCACTGTTTCCATTCAAACAAACTGGGAAAGGAATTACACACTTTGAAGATTGTTTCAGAGGAAATAACGTTGCCTACACGTATTTATCCTTCTTGCTCAGGAATCAAATATTTATGTCCAGAGAGGGAATTTGTCTTTATAGACTTAATTTTTTTAAATAATGTGTTTTTACCTAATGCTCAATGGTTGTACTATTGACTCACAGACAATGAAAGCTCTGTTCATGTTTTAACTTGTTTGAATTGATACCATCGTTGTCGTCATTACATTTCAATGGGTGGCGCTGAGATCAATGGTTATTACACTGCCGCCTATTCCACACATTTGTACGGTTTTGTGTGCACTAAAAGAAAAGACAAACGGTTAATTTACAGATTACATCACCTGCCACTTGTCTGTGTGAGCATCATGGACTCTGTTGTGTGTATGTTCTCAAACTCATACTGGATTAAGGATGGGATTACAGGATTAGAATGTTCCACTCACAGTACAGAGCCTGTAAATAGATCTAGCAGACACAGTCAGCACACTTGGCCTGTATTGAGGATATACAGTATCTGCTATTAATAATTGGGATGTATTTCCCTACTAAGGTCTGCCCTTAGGTTTTTTCATCCAGGTCAAAGGTAAGGCATAGGTAGTAGCATACATTAGTACTGTAGACCAGACAGTTAGTTGGAGCTAAGATTGTGTGTTTGTTTACCTAACACTTAGAATACTTTTAGTTTTGCCAAATAAGCATATTTATATTCATACATTCATACATTGAACCTCATACATTTTTATACAATGTTTTATTAGCAGGCTGAGATGTTACTACTTATCCTCAAATTAAGCAGTTAGGGACAGTGTTTCCCAGGCCTGAAGGGCTGCAGTGCATGTCAGTGTTTGTTATTTCTTTCTAATCAGAGACAGATACATAGGTCTGTATTCTGGTGTTTGGACATTCATTGACTTGCCAAGCAATGATGAATTGAACTAAATAAATCATGTGCCTAGGAACATTTAATTAAATCATCCAGGATTTAATCAGGTTTGTCGCTCTGTATAAAAGCGTCTGCTAAATGACTAAAATGTAAAATGTAAAATGTAAATTCATCAGCACCAGGTTAGAGGGAGGAGTAACAGACTGGGGACAGGAAGTGACAGTTTACCTCTCTCTCAGTGTGCTCTCTCCCCCTGTTGACTATGAACCCTGTATGTGTCTCTGATGGGTGTGATGTGCTGATTCAGTCTTATTCTCTGCATGGCTCAAAAAACTGTTAAAGTACTTGGGAAAAATTGGCAACTCTCTGGACATCACTTGCAATTATTTAACAAAGTTAGTAACTCCTTTGTCATTGGTAGAAACAATTGGTACTTTTTTGTTTTTTACAATGAATCTCCATGAGGAATTCGGTAAAAAGTATGTAATTAGTCTGTTACCATGTGGTTTCTAAATAAATTCCAGACAACTAGCGTAAAATAAAGCATTACTAGGACTTTGACATCTTCTCTCCATGTATTAAATTACAGTTGAAAAAATGTGCTTAGAAGGTTGTAACAATCATAAACGTGTCATGAAACGGTTATGTCAGATGTTATGAATGCCTATGTATTCCCCTTACACAGCTGGTAATGGGATGTGTAGTTATTATTATAACACTATTTATCATGTTATTCGATACTCTCTCTGTGCTCCAGACCTGTGAACACAGACAAGGGGACCAGAGAGAGAGGTGAAAGAGGACAGACCCTGGTGTTGTGGTTGATTCATCGAGGCAGTGGAGGCAGGACGTGGGTCCTCATCTGCACAGCTCTACTCTTCTCTCTGACAGAGAGAGCAACATGTCAAAGTAGGGTCCCTTTCATCATTAAAGTATTGTTAATATTGAAATCATTAGTAGTTGTAAAGATGTGGTATTCGTAGTGGTATGGCAATTAAAACCCATTTTCATCTAAACAGATACTGTATCATCAAAAATGCTACGGACGAGTGAAGTAATATCCAAATGCTTCCTGCATTACTCATGACTCTATTAATTTAATAATAATAAGTAATATGCCATTTAGCAGACGCTGTTATCCAAAGCGATTTACAGTCATGCGTGCATACATTTTTTTTGTGTATGGGTGGTCCCGGGGATCGAACCCACTACCTTGGCGTTACAAGCGCCGTGCTCTACCAGCTGAGCTAAGGCCCCTCCAGCAGCAGCTCCTGCAGCTGCAAACACATAGAGCATCACCTTTAGCCCAGAGAAAATAACAGCACAGACTGGCCTATGTGCTGTTATTTCATGTACTTTCACTCACCCTGATCACGTCAATATGGTTCAAATGCCATACAAATGGCAAATGTGATAAAGGTAAAGACATCTTATTATTTTATTTTTTTTGACAAGTTGAGGCAGAGGGCTGTCGAGCTGTCTGGGATTGATTGGGCTCCCTCTAGTGAACATTACTACTACTACGACCACCAAGCTGAAGAATCAGACATTTTCTGTCTTGGCTACTTTTCCCTCATTTTGCAATTCAAGGTGATACTCAGTCATTTCTAACATCTTTTTACACACAATCTTCTTGACATATATCATTGTTGCCTGAAATAAAAGCAACATAGGTTCATTAGAATATGTTTTTTTTAAAGTGACATTTAACCATTGCGGTTATATGTTGTTAGCGGTTGATGTTATTTTTCAATAACACAGACCCCAAAGCAAATCAGGGGGAGAAAAATATACTTATTCAAAGAGAATAGTAGTTATGCTGGGAAGTAAATGGTAGATGTTCATTCTTCCCTGTTCTCAATGTTTCTCCACAGAACAAAGAGACAGGATGTAATTTATAGCCTCAAGCCTAGTATGTGGCTGACCAATTAGAATTCCTTGCAATATAATTTGGCTACTGGCCAAACCCCCAAGTATCCTGTTGCAGGCTCAAAGTGTAGAGCATTTGGACCAATGAAAACTTGCCCATGTAGCTATGAATCCCTGGTTGGAACCACTACAAAGATTCTAAACAGATGTTGAACTGAAAAACGACTATTTCCATTGATCGTTAATTCCCTCTTGACCTCTAGTCCTCTATTGACCACTAGTCCTCTTGACCATTAGTCCTCTTGACCACTAGTACTCTGCGTTGTGTATATTTATCTTTGAATATTCTTACAATGTCACCACTACTGACATTAGTTATATGTCACAACAGGTGATATTGTACATATGTCACTATAATGGCATATTCAATATATATCACGTAGCATGGGGCTCCATTGGTCCAGAACAGAATGGTAAAGTGTGAAGTAGTTGATGTGTAATTGATGTCTGATATCTGTTGCAGAGGTCTCTGGTTCAGGGTTAAATAGACACCATGTGGTGTTTGGTGCTGCTTTGGTCGTTGTTGCTGATCATCAAAGGTACAACTCCTATCTAGATATGCAATTGCAATGTAAAACTGATTTGGTGGTTTTACTGCATTGACCCAGTTGACTTTTAGAGTGTGTCAAACTTATAGCAAACAACACTAAAGCAACAGAGTACAGAGTAGACACAGGGTCCAATTGACACACATTGCAGCAGGGAATCAGCCTACTGTTCCAGTGCTGTTGGATGGCTGGCTGGCGTCCATCTTGGCTCCACCTTGTCCCTCTCACTTAAACAGTGGTGCCAGTGGTAAGAGTGAGACATATGCTTCCTCCACATAGGGTCTCTGCTCTTACCAGCTCACCCAGGGAGAACCTCATGATATCATCCTATGTTCTCTCTCTCGCTTTGTCTCTCTCTGTTCATCTTTTCTCAGTGATTCCATTTGAAACTGTATATGTAGTGTAGATTGATTGTTCATTGATATACAGTTTAGCGCTCAATATTCCCATTTCCAATCTCCCCTCCCTCTCCCTCATTCCCTCTCTCAGATGTCAGTAGAAAGTGGAATGTATGGGTACCAAGGGACGTCTCGGCCATGACCAAGTCCTGCGTGGTCATCCCCTTCAGATTCATGTATCTGGCAATACTGTGGCATCCACAGCATCTGGTACTTTGGCCAGCCATACCCACCTGTGGTGCTCTTCCCAGCGGTGGTCTTCAAGACATTGTGCATGAAAGTTACAAAGGGCGTACCAAGCTCATTGGGGACCTGCACCAGAGGAACTGCACCCTGCTCATCAGTAATATAGGTACAGAGCACTCTGGGAGGTACTACTTCCGTGCTGACCTGGACAGGTGCCAACATCTACACCTACCCAGACTTCTCTGAGCTCAAGGTGCTGGGTAAGCCTTCTGAGAGAACCTGAGAGGCTTTTTTTTTTTTTACTATGATTTTTTTCAATCGTAGGTGTCACATTTGTGGGCTGGATTGCCATTGCCTGGTACCATATCTGTTGTGATGTCTTGCCAACTATCTGTGGACACTGTTTGGCATTACATGGCCTGACTATGACAATAGGAGTTGGCAAGCACAAATAGATCTGGCACCAGGCTAGGAATGACCTAGCTGTGATTATAATTATTATAGTTTTAATGAGAATAGGTACATATTGTGAATTGGTGAATTTTAAATTGTTCACTTATGTCCTCTCTGTCCCCCAGACCAGCCCAACATTGACATCCCTGAGGAGATAGTCGCTGACGAGAATCTGGACGTGCTATAATACACAACTGTCCAGAGAATAGCCCAGAGATCCAATGGATGTACACAGACTACCTGCCTGAACCCGAGTATACCTCAGACTACGTGGAAGAGAGCAACACAGCCGTACTGTCCAGCACGCTCACCTTCACCCCCAGGCCCAGGCACAACGGCCAGCTGCTGGGCTGCAGGGTCTACTACCCCAACACCACCCTGGTCTACGAGAGACTCATCTCTCTGGACGTCAAGTGTAAGTGACCAACTGAACGTTGTCACCGAACCTGTAGGTTGAATCCTAAAATTCTGTGAGAAGCGTGTCATTTGGACACAACAGGGGACACATTATGTAATGTGGGGGATTATATAAATATAGAATAACTAATCCTGACTACTACACCAAATGTAATAGTAGCAGTGTTACATATATTTATGACGCACACATTTTAGAACCATTGTCAATATCTACAGTCATCCATTATTCTCCATCTACAGTAGAAGGATAGCAGCTTGATTTAGCAATATATTGCATGATTATGACATGCATAGGGTATGTTAGCCTGTCATCCAAACCTGTTTTTCTACGTGTCACCTTTGTTTTTCTTTGAGAAAATGATGAGTGCAGCATTGGGTCTGGTTTAACCAGGTTATACACTTGTCACTTTTACAAGTCTAACCCCACCTTCCCCTTCCTCTCACCCCAGATGCCCCTCGCTCGGTGTGGGTGAACGTGTCCGTGGAGGTGATGGAGGGCAGCTCCGTGACCCTGCACTGTGAGGTGGACAGTAACCCTCCTCCCAGGATCTCCTGGCTGTTTGGGGATCAGGAGCTGCTGTGGGACACGGCCTCCAATGCCTCGCTCTCCCTGGAAGACTTAACCCCCGCTCAGGATGGCATCTACACCTGCGAGGGGCATAACGGCAACGGCATCATGAAAAATAGTTACATTTAACCATTGTAGTTATATGTCAACCAAGCTGACATTTTAGTTTATGTGACTTGCTGTGACATATTTCTTATAAGTAGTGACGCGCGACATATATAATGACTTTTTAGTTATGTGATAAACCAGGCCCATAGCTTCTTGCTCTTGTTTATACACAGTACGTTCTATCCTCTTTAACTTGCTCCTTTGTTCAACTCCTTTCATTCTCCTCATATCGCTCTACATTTCATCCCTTCTATGTCCTTGCTGCATGCCGTCAATGCCGTCAATGTGCACTGCAGCATCAGCAACATGAGTGGCTGTCATCGCCTTCATCATCGCAGCAGTGAGATATGTGGGCCATAACAACAAGAAGTGAGTATCCACCCTTCACTAACTGTGACAGGGGTCGATGCGAGTTACAGGTAGTCATTTCCTGTTTGAATTGACGATAAGGAAACACTTCAGCCTAGCCATCCATTCTAAAACACCTCTGTGTATTCGTGAGTGAATGATTGATCGATGGACGGACCTGAGAATCATCTTCATAAGTTATGCTAATGCAAGAGCGAGTTCATTTAATTTGCCATCACTAGTCCCCTTTCTGAAATCCTCTGAGATGGAGATCCAAAATGGCTGCCTGGTGGAGTGGTGTTAGCAAGCCAGACTAACCGTAGCCTATAGTTTGAAGGCTCTTTTCCCTGCTTTGATACTGCTTTGTACCCTTGACTTGCTTAGCTAAAAATACAGCCATGGTAGCCTACTTAACTAAGGTGCTTCAGCATTATAGCAATACATCACATTCTGACAAAAGCTTTTACAGATAGTCGCTCCAAGAGACGGTGTCAGCTCAACCGCAACTAAACCCATGAAACAATAACCACAACCATGAACGTCGACCATAACCATGAACCATATGCCTGGAGACTATTAACTACGTTGGGAAACAGGCCCTTGTTTTAAAATGGATGCTCAGGCTTGGAGTGTCGCCCTGAGTTAGTTAGTTAGTGGCCATGAGACCGAGTCTGATCTTGTGACTCCATCCCCCAGAGAGAATGGCAACCCTGGGCAGGACCTGTTCTCTAAACTGGAGAAACCAGTGATGTACTACAGCACAGTCAAGAAGGACAAACAATGTTTGAGGAAGAAAGTGGTGAGACATGTTGATGATGATGACTATGAGGATGAGAATGACTATTCTCAGATCTGTCTTAGACGGGAGAATGATAGCTGACCCGTTGCTAGTGCTGATACTATACTATACCCGTTCAATTCATGTCCCTTTTTTGATCTACATTCCGTGGAGATACTCATTAATTATCAAAAACCTACAGTCGTGGTCAACAGTTTTGAGAATGACACAAATACTAATTTTCACAAAATCTGCTGCCTCAGTTTTGATGATGGCAATTTGCATATACTCCAGAATGTCATGAAGAGTGATCAGATGAATTGCAATTAATTGCATAGTCCCTCTTTGCCATGAAAATGAACTTAATCCCAAAAAACATTTCCACTGCATTTCAGCCCTGCCACAAAAGTATCAGCTGCCATATTGTCAGTGATTCTCTCGTTAACAAAGGTGAGAGTGTTGACGAGGACAAGGCTGGAGATCACTCTGTCATGCTGATTGAGTTAGAATAACAGGCTGGAAGCTTTAAAAGGAGGGTGGTACTTGAAATCATTGTTCTTCCTCTGTTAACCATGGTTACCTGCAAGGAAACACGTGCCGTCATCATTGCTTTGCACAAAAAGGGCTTCACAGGCAAGGATATTGCTACTAGTAAGATTGCACCTAAATCAACCATTTATCGGATAATCAAGAACTTCAAGGAGAGAGGTTCAATTGTTGTGAAGAAGGCGTCAGGGCGCCCAAGAAAGTACAGCAAGCGCCAGGACCGTCTCCTAAAGTTGATTCTGCTGCGGGATCGGGGCACCACCAGTGCAGAGCTTGCTCAGGAATGGCAGCAGGCAGGTGTGAGTGCATCTGCACGCACAGTGAGGTGAAGACTTTTGGAGGATGGCCTGGTGTCAAGAAGGGCAGCAAAGAAGCCACTTCTCTCCAGGAAAAACATCAGGGACAGACTGATATTCTGCAAAAGGTACAGGGATTGGACTGCTGAGGACTGGGGTAAAGTCATTTTCTCTGATGAATCCCCTTTCCGATTGTTTAGGGCATCCGGAGAAGACAAGGTGAGCGCTACCATCAGTCCTGTGTCATGCCAACAGTAAAGCATCCTGAGACCATTCATGTGTGGGGTTGCTTCTCAGCCAAGGGAGTGGGCTCACTCACAATTTTCCCTAAGAACACAGCTATGAATAAAGAATGGTACCAACACATTCTCAGAGAGCAACTTCTCCCAACCATCCAAGAACAGTTTGGTGACGACCAATGCCTTTTCCAGCATGATGGAGCACCTTGCCATAAGGCAAAAGTGATAACTAAGTGGCTTGGGGAACAAAACATCAACATTTTGGGTCCATGGCCAGGAAACTCCACAGACCTTAATCCCATTGGGAACTTGTGGTCGATCCTCAAGAGGCGGGTGGACAAACAAAAACACACAAATTCTGACCAACTCCAAGCATTGATTATGCAGGAATGGGCTGCCATCAGTCAGGATGTGGCCCAGAAGTTAATTGACAGCGTGCCAGGCCGGATTGCAGTGGTCTTAAAAAAGAACACTGCAAATATTGACTCTTTGCATAAACGTAATGTAATTGTCAATAAAAGCCTTTGACACTTATGGAATGCTTGTAATTATACTTCAGTATACCATAGTAACATCTGACAAAAATATCTCATAACACTGAAGCAGCGAACTTTGTGAAGACCAATACTCAAAACTTTTGACCACGACTGTATATGACCTCTTATGTTAAAGAGAAAATGTAAACTTCCCCAGCCAACTACTGACCTAGCCTGAGAGTCCCAGTACCACTATAGCTATCTATCACAGTACCTCTGGAGTAGCTGCGACCATAGCCTTTCCAAACCACTGTTTTCTGCTTCATCGCTTCTCTGCGTTCTTCTGTCTCTTTTTCTCTTCCCTAACTCTTGCACAGCTTAAGAGAGCTTCTGGGCTCAAAGTTTACCTCCATTCTAGAGGAGAGTACGGTAAGGTACCTAAACAACCCCACCCCAATCCCAACTCCAGGTCTCAGTGGTAGACAGCATCCCTCACACATCCCAGACAGCAAAATTATATGATGGCCCAAATTCGGCCCTTATTTACAGTATTACGACTTACCATATGGCCCAGTTAACCACTTAGTGTTACGGTCCTGAAGTGGAACTATAGCATGAAATGCCCAGATCTTGCCTGTCAAGGTGGATGTGGCCCACATTCAGACCTAAAGTAGCCCAGTAACTAGGAAAAGTTGTTACGGCCACACAACTCAAGCCAGAGATGGCCCATCAGCAAAGTGCCAACCCTCTCCCAGTCCGCATCTCCTACATTCGGACCAGATCTGGGCCATATGACGCATTGTGGTGCCAGAACTGAGCCATACTGTATGTGTCACCAAACAACCAGATCTGGCTCACAGTCGTCTGCTGTCTGAGATCCGCTTCCATGTGCTGTATTGCCTTTGATTTCCATGACTGCTGTTGTATGGCTGCCTCGATACCAACAGGATATGCTAAACCTACTCAATCTCCTTGTCTTACACCTCTGCTCACCAATAACAACTAACCCTCCTTTCTCCTCTCTCAATGCCTGTCATGTTATCACTTTATACGGTCTATGTTCTGAGGTGTCAATGGCATTGGTGGCACTGTGCTGGTATAATCTGTGATTCTGAATGGACCTTCTCTCTTTCCGTACCTTCAACAGGGAGAAGACGGAGATGATCAACCTGTGGGCTCTATGGCAGCCCTGGAGAGGCAACAGCTGAACTACGCCGCCCTGGAGTTTCTGGGGGGGCGCTCCAGGGATGGGGGGGCCATAGGGGGGGGGGGGGGGGGGGGTGACGGCAGCGACTACACCGAGATCAAAGCCAAATGATTTGCGATCCTTCCCTGACCCCTCGTCACCGCGGGACACAGTGGCAGCCATGTTGTCGCCCCCCTCCTCACGTCATTCGCCCCCTCTTCAAACGTCTTCCCCCCTCCCCTGTGGATACCATCACCACACTTCACCATCACACCAAGATCCCCCATCGTATCCCCCCATCCCTGACTCATCTGAATTGACGTCCCTGTTAGTCAACGCCCCGGCCTCCATGGGGAGCCCCAGTCACATCTCGCCACCCAGGACTGCTGGTAGCTACTTGCAGGGTCGGAACACGGCCCAGTGGACAATGTAAAAAGCTCTTTGTATTATCAGCAGCTGTCGGTCTCCCAGCTCTTACTCTATTGTTCATAGCCACACAATTCACTCACAACAGGTGGAATGTGTTAGCTACTGTACTGTACTGTATCATCTACATTCAATGTTGCTATTTCCAGCTCTACACCATTAATTGTTTGGCATTGCTATCAAGCTTGGGACACAGTAACACATTTTCTGGGGCTCCCCTTCTGTATGTCACCCTATATCATACTCATAGCTAGCCTGGTTAAACCAGATTGAACGCTGCGCTTACAACTGTTTTCCTGTGAAACGCAGTGCAATCAGTTTGGATACCAGGCTAGCTTGTTCCTGCTCCTGTTCTAAATCTGTCCATTATAGTCCTTCTCCACTGTGTCCGCTGCCAGTCGAAGTGTCAGGGAAAGGGGTGTTTTTTCTGCTTTTTCCTTTCTTATCTCTATTTCTGACCCTGGATCTGGAGGAAATTATGAATATCCTCTCTCTTCCTGATCCAGTGGTTGTCAAAACTGACCAGTGTTCATCAACCATCAGACCTGGTACATATCCAGTTGAAGCCAGTAATCTTCATCTTACATATTCTGTTCCCACATATAGTTCAATAGTGATGTGTGCTGTAACTCAGTAGCTTTTGATGATGATGAGAAATTAATACTTTATTTGATTTTGTATGGAGAGAGAAGATGGATACTCTTAGAGGTTTGTCAAGCCTTGAACACAAGGTTCTGTTTGTGCAAGAGGTGGCCTGATTTCTTTTGTTCTTATGCATTACAAGCACCGATTTGGTTGTGGTTTGCTCTTGGGGAAATGTGCCGGGGTAACACAGATGTTCTATTTATGCCGTTGCCCATGATTTAATTACTAGTATTTTTTGGACGACTTCTCTGTTTTGCCAAGGCTAAGTGTTAACTTATCCTTAAATGGGAACCAATTTTTGGATCAATCTGGCATACATCACTCCACTGTAGCACTCACACATCAGGCCAAAATGTATCTCATTGAGACAAAGTGTGTGTGTGTGTGTGTGTGTGTGTATGTAAACAGTGCTGAAAGATCAGTGAACACTGATCACTGTGGCTGTTTCAAAGGATCACTTTACCTGAGACCGCTTCTCACAAAATGTATTCTTCAATGGTTGTGAATTGTGAAATCGATGCCTAATCCTGTAGGGTTGTATCAGATGAGGTGTTTGAGTGGCACAAAAGTAAAGCTGATATACCAGTTGGTTGTGCTATTCAAACATACTTGATCAACTCATGTAATGTAATCTACAAGCTCACTAATGGCATAACTAGATAACAATGACTGTTAATACAATATTAATAAGCTGTATATGGATGGGTAAAAGGATACCAGTATACATTATGTAAATAAACATCCTGCATGACTATTATGCTGTCAGCCATATGTGTAAATACACTACGGTATGTACATGCTCAGTATTACAACAATGGTTTACACAGGCAAGTTTTATACAGGTTCGGTAACACTTTAATTGACTTCTCTGTCATAAGGGTGACATAACGCTGTCATGACATAACACATGTCATTTTCGGTCATGAAAACTGATGTCAAAATAATGACCCTTTACACTGTCATGACACAAAATGATATTTATGTAAATTAGTTGGCTATCTGTATGCTAAGCCAATTAGCTGACTTAAGCAAAGATTTGTGCCATGACAGTGTCAAGTCAGCTGTCAAGCTTATGTAAGCTGTTATGACTGTTAATAACATATTTTATGTAGTTGTTCTGACATGGGTAAGTCACTAGACCCAATGCCAGAACGTTCAAGATGTGTTACCCAACATTGAGACTTGCCAATATGGACATCCGGTTAGTAACACTTACTGTCATCGGTTCTCTTGAACGCCTCATGGGGGGTTTATTTATTTCTAAACCTGGAAACAAAATGGAGAAGCGTTGTTCATGTCTTATCTAATTTGTTTGTCACATAGTGGGTTGTAAAGCAGATTTGTACTTTCTTTACTTTGTGGTATTCATTATTATTATTATTGTGATTTTTTTGATATCTTTGAAACAATAATTCCGATCAGAATTCTGCAATCTTTCTGCAAATTAGCACTGTTATTACTTAATGACAATAAGAGCTCTATGATGATGTTTGATCACTCTCTTTTATTTTACAAGTCTATCCTGCCTCAAGCAAAGCCATCTTTCTTTGGTTTGTGGTGTCGAGACAACCATGCTGACATGCTGCGTGGACAAGGAATCCGCTGACACTGTACTTGATTATAAAGGTTTATTATATCAAAGGTTACAGCATCAATTTACAGACTTCTGCAGAAATCCGGAGAACAACTAACCCAATTTCTAATATGATTATTCCCTGTCCCTTTGTTCAAAACCTGGTATATATCCTATGTTCCATAAGATGGGTGGTTTTTTGATAGACCAATTCCTGACCTTCACATAAGAGACTCTCCTCTGTTTTAGGGGGGCCCCTAGAGTAACACTTTCCAGATGTTTCAGCAAAGCAGAGCAAAGTTCTAGAATGTTCAGACACTACAGGTTCCAAACAAAAAATAAATGAAGTAAACAACAGAGAATGTGACCAGCTCAGTTTATCTATATAGTTTGTATCTGTACTCTCATACCCAAAACAGTAAGGAAAATACACCCTGTTATGATGAGTTTCTCGGGTATCAAAGAATCAAGGATGCAAGGATATACTTAGACATTCTGTGGAGATTTCATACCAAGTATTTTTTGAATCACGAGCTCGTGGGTTCATCTAACAAATGGACATGGCTTTGCCCTTCGTCAGTTGAACTAACTAACAAAGAAGAAACTCTACCTTATATACCCTTTTGGTTCTCATTCCTTTCACATACATCTGGTAACCATCATAGGCCTCCCTGTCTCTGTTATTTTTACCCTTTGCCCCCAGGTCACTACATCCTGTCCATCAATCACACTACCCTAAACATCAGTAATCTACTTTGACACAATGGAATGTAGACTTCATGGCCCCAAACTAATTACCTAGTAACTCTACCTCTGTCCACACAATACTATGACATGACATCATTACACACCCTGAATACTTTCTATATCTCCATGTATTAGTATTACTTTATTAATGAGATGTAGGTACTATCTTCTTCTTTAGCTCTTCTTTTCACCCTTTTTGCTATTTAAGTCAAAAAATCATTGTTATCTGAGATAATTTTAGAGCCAATTTGTGCAGTTCTGAAAATAGTAACATAAAGGAAGCATCTACTGTACAGTAAGTTGCAACCCGTTTTTTAAGATTAAGATTATTTTATTGGTCAATTGCAGGTCCAACTGGTCCAACTGAAATTTGACTTCCGCTTTTAACCCAACCCCTCCGAAAGACACACATACATACACATGCATAAACATTCAGGAGAGGTGTGGGGGGGCTGCCAAACTGTGCGGCAGGTTGACGTTCATTGTCATGAATCTTGCCCTGGAAGCAGAACAGAGCGAATTCCTCTAGATGGGTCAGCTGCAAAGATTTTTGGTCTTAATTTTAAGGTTGGGGTTAGGCATTAGGATTAGTTGTATGCTTAAGGTTAGGGTTGGTGACCACTCTGCAGAGCTGCTTCCAGAACAAAATTAATGACAAAAGAAACTAACCTGCCACTGGGTGCCAGGGGAGCTGTTGCTGTGGGGGGTTGCTCAAGGGCACAATGGCAGGCAATGGCATCAAGGATTTGATACCAGTAACCCTCCGGTTGCCAGCTCACTTCCCACCAGACATTTCCCATCGGACCTGGAATTCGAACTGGCAACCATCCGGTTGCTGGCTCACCTCTCTAACCACTAGGCTACGTTCTCTGGTTTCAACCATCAGTTAGCCAAACGGAGCTAAAAAGTTTTCCTTGATTATAATTTACCTCTCTCAGACAGTCCTACCTTGCATAACGTATTCATAAAAAAAAGCTAAATATAACAATGCTAAGAATTTTATGCCTCCTGACCTTATGCCAAATGTCCCCATGTGTTCAACTGTGGGGTTGTCATTGTTGTCTTACAATTTACAAGGACTGGTCAGATATATAAGGAGGGCCACGTTAAGGCTGAGGGACAGACCAACGATTATCCAGGGAAAGACTGCAACATCCCTCTTCTCTGACCCAAGGATATCTATGGGAAGTGATACAAATTAATTGGTACGAAAACACTTTGTTTAATTTATCCAACACTATTCTACTTTAGTTCTACTCTTTACCCCACTAGCTTCCATTGTCATGAACCCTGCGTCCTGAGTCTGTTCCTGCCTGTGTTGCCGTTTTTTCTGCTCTGAATCTCCTGTTTCCTGAAGGTTCCTGAACGCACCCTGTCTGGTTGCCGGGCGACGTTGCTAGGCGGGTGATTTCTTGATTACCCGCACCTGCTTCTCATCAGCTTCGGCACACCTGGTCCTGATCATCACCCCTTCATAAGCCCTGACCTGACATCCATTCCCTGCCGGATCGTTAGCCATGAACAGTATGTTTGTCAGCATATCAGCCTCTGAGTTACTAGCGTTAGTTTTGTTGTTTTGCACCTTGTTGGCTTGCCGTGTACTGACCTCCGTTTTTTTCTGTCTACAGTCATTCTCCCGGAACCTTCACCCAACCCCTGCCTGGTTGTCGGCGGCTGCCGAGCCATCATTGGATCTGCCACTTCACCTCCACCAACTCATCTCCGCCGCCCACTCCGTCTC